GCAGAGTCTACATTTGCTTTCTGTGAAGCAATTCCTGGTCCTTCTGCCCTGAATAACATCCCCATACGGGAGGTTGTCAAGAACTGTCAGTCAACAAGGAAGGAGGTGAGCTGGGCTGAGGGAGGTGACCAGAGGCAGACAGCATGAGAAGAGGAAGCATGGAGGACTGGCCAAGCTGGTTAGGAAGAAGGCCAGGGAGATACTGTCTCTTCCCCCCAGACACTCCTCCCACAGTTCTATTCATTCAGAGAGAGAGAGAGAGAGAAGAGGAAAGAAATGAAATTATATCATTTGCAAGAAGGTGGCTGGAACTTAAGAACAATTCTGTTAAGTGAAATAAGCCAAACTCAGAGGATCAAGAGTCATAGGTCGTACGTAGAAGCTAAGAGGATAAAGAAAAAAAGCAGGTTAGGGCCAGTGGGTAGAAGAGGGGGATCAGGAGGAGGGGAGGGGAGGGGAGGGGGGATACTGGGTGTGATATTGGCCAAATTATACTGTTACATTGTGTGCCTGTGCAAATATGTAACAACAAATCCCACCACCATGCACAACTATAATGCACAAATAAAAAACAGGGGGGAAAAAGAGAAACTCTTTCTACACCCTTAACTCTGCAGTCCGTAGAGACCCAGAAATTCTTTAACCTCAAGGAGTTAAAAATATATTTAGGAAAGTAAATGAGCAAATGTTTATAATGTTTTTATTGTTTTATCATTTTTATACTTTTATTATGGAAMTATTTAAAACATACAGAAATAGAAAAAATACTAAGGTACTTATCACAGGTTCAGCATGTAGACAATTTTATTTCATCCCTCAAAATGCGCATGTGCACACACACCCACACCCACACACACCCATTCATCCATCCATACGCTTTCCCCCATCCCCTTTCTACCTCCCTTTACAGGAACGTTTTTTTTTTTAATATTTATTTTTTTAGTTTTAGGTGGATACAATATCTTTATTTTATTTTTATGTGATACTGAGGATCAAACCCAGTGCCTCACATATACTCGGTGAGCGCTCCACCACTTGAGCCACAAACCCAGCCCCTACAGGAACATTTTAAGGTAAATCACAGACATTTAAAAAAAAAAAAAAAGTGCAGGGTGCACCATGTTTCATGCTGCACTGGAGACCCTGCATCTCATCCTTGATATCACATGGTTTGTTTACCAGATCTTTCTTAAATGACTTTCATGATCTACGATTGTCTGTTAGTAAATCAAAGTAGATCATGGAAATGTCAAGAAACCAGTAAGAAACCAATAACGACTTTCCCCAGTGAAATGCCTGCTTCTCTGAGCTCCACGTGGTTATATAAGGGTTGCAAGAGCCCTTTGGCAAGACACCTGCCCCTCCTGAAACAGTGGCATTCATGTGGCCATCTGTCAGCAGATGTACAGCTTTTCAGCAAGGCTTTGGGGACTTTCCAGGGGACGAAAAATCATTTCTCATGATTTCTGTGCTCCTTCCCTCCCCTCCAGCCCTGGCTTCACGCTTCTCTCAACTTTTCCAGGAGAGAAGAAAATGAATACCTCCCAGGTGAATTGTTTCCTTATTACTTCTTGTTCTCAGAAAAAGTTACTTTGCATTGTTCTCCCTTGTCTTTCCTTCATTTTCTGACTTTTCCCTGCATTGTGATTTGAATTTCTGTTTTCCTCATTTTGTGAGTCTACATTTGATGCTATTCTTGATCACCCTGGAGGTGTTAGAACATACGACACATTTTCCTATCAACATCAGGAATATTTTTCACCTGTGTCACCTGAACAAGATGCAGCCCTCCTGCATCTCAGATTTGTGGAGATTGTCTGAATCATCTAATTGTTTTTCCACTTTCTTTTCTTCTTTTTATATAGCAAATGTTATGTTTTAAATGTTTTGTTAGTGATTATATCACACATTCTAACTACAGTTTAAATTTGAATATACATCTTCTGGTTATTTTTTTGCCATCCCCAGTTTTCAGATAGAGTGACTAAATCATAATAGTTGGTCATCTCTAATATAATCTACAGTTTAGGGCTGCATATTATATTCTAGCCACTGCTAAATTCTGATATTATTCCTACCAGGTGTTAACTCTACCAGGATTAACTCATGTAATTTTGACCACATTATTGGGCAGATACCTTTATTACAAACTTTTTACTAAGGGCTATAAAGAGTTAAGTGATTCTCAAAAGCTGACAGCTGAAGTAGTTCAAAGGCTACATCACTAGATGTTTGGCCAGATGGAGATCTCTTCAAGTCCAAGAATACAGCAAGTTCTCCACCCAGTTTTGAGAGTAAGTTATGTGCTTCCATTCCAGCCTGCCCAAGAACTTGGAATGGAGCACATGAACGGGGCACATGAAATGAAGCAGGGGACGCACTCACGCTCCAGACGTATTTGTTGTGTATCTGAAGTTCAAGTGTAACCCATGGGCCTGTGTTTTCATTACTAACTCTGTCAACCCTACTCAGGTGGAAAGGGGGTCCCAGGTGCTCCCTGCAGACCCTTGGAGCTGACAGTCCCAGGTCACCAGAGGAGCAGACGCCCTTTGTTTTCAATGGCCGATTTTATGACCTCATTCAGAACGGCCCTTGATGAATTGGTGTGACCTGCCTGCCTGGGGTTCACCACCATTGTAGCATCTGTCCTAGAGTCTTGGGAATTGGCACCCACAAGTGTGGCTTTGTCTGAAGCCATAAGCACTTTGCCGGCACACCCCTCACAGACGGCTCTCCCCAGTCTCCACTGTCTTTTCTCCACGATTGTCAACTGAGTGTCTTTTTCTCTTTCTGGGTCCTGCTGAGTTTGGGTGGTGGCCCCTGTAGCCCTGCCCGGCTCGCTGTTTGGTCTGCTGTCTGAGCCTGGGTGCCTGAGGATGCCCTGCTCCCTGCTCTGTTCTTTGAGTGAGCAACTTTCAAGATTCCATCTTGAAATCCTTTCCTCTCAAAGTATTGTGAGAAAAAAGAATCTGCAGTATCTCTAGGCATCTGGGGAGGAGTGGTGTGGGAGCTTGATTGTCATTCCTTTGTAGATAAAACCTCCCCTCCCCCTGGCTTGCTCCCCCTTCCTCCTCACCCCTCCTTTATCTGGCCTTGGCTTTTTCCCTGGGCAGCGCTGCTTATTTGTTCTCTGTGCGATCCGCCTGCTTGGCAGTTGAATGTGTCCTAAAAAGATGAAGCGCTGGAGGCTCAGGGGTGTTTTCAGTGTCTCTGTGTTTGCTTCCTTCCCGCTCCCTCTCTGCCCTCGCCACCTGGAAATCCCACTGCAGCCTCTCTCCGGTCCCCTCTCTGTGTTCCTCGACTTTTATCTCATCGTTTCGAGTTTTCTGTGGGTTTTTGTGAGTGTGATGGAGAGATTTACTCATTTGTTTCCAAGCCTTCTCTGGAGGGCTTTGTTTTCCCCAAATCAGTAACAAAATATTTAGCATCTGTGTAGAGCCGGGTGCTCTTTCTTGTCTCACAGCCAGCTTCTCTTATTTATGGAAGCAAGGCCCTCTCTTGTGCTGACTTTAAGATACTGATGTGAATGTTTAAACGTTATCTCTTCAATGATAGTTAAATTTCTTTCCCAGCTTCCAATCTATTCATCTCAGGCTGTTGTTTTCATTGACTTTAAATCCATCCGTCAGACATCAAGCCTTGTCTTCTGGAGGCTTAATCCCCAGGCTGTTGATTTCCTCTGGGGTTCAGGCTCTTTTGTGTTGGTTTGTCTTCTGGGTGAGCAGGAAAGCAGAGACCCCATTCAGTCAGTGCAGATGGCTGATGGGTGTCTCAGCAGCACGGGGCACTGTTTCCAGGGCAGTTTCCCCTGAATGACAGGGTTGGCCTCAGGCCTTATCGGGAGGAGTCCAGAGATGTCCACAGACATGCCCTTCAGGCTGTATAGATTGGGGGGGAGGCAAGCTCGGGCACCCCCTCCCCGGCCCTGTCTCCCCAGAGTTGCCCTGAAACAAGAGCTGTACCCCTGTGCACAGGACTCGATTTTGCTCTTTGGTAGCAAAGTTCTCACAGATTCCCTGGGACAGTTCCTGCTTTTTCTTTTCTAAATATATATTTTTAGTTGTGGATGAAACTTTATTTTTATTTATTTATTTTTATGCTGTGCTGAGAACGGAACCCCGTGCCTCACACCTGCCAGGCGTGTGCTCCACCACTGAGCCAGCCCCAGCCCCAGTTCCAGAAACTTGTCGAAACTTCCCCCTTGCTGATGGCCCCTCCTGTACGCCTCCGCGGTAATAACCATAGAGGTTTTCCATCTCTATATTCTGCTGTTGGGGTGCCCAGCCCATGTGTTGACCCAGGAGTGTCACTTGCTCTTGAACTTGTCGCTTCTGAGACACTCTGCACTCATTCATCAGCTGCTTAGTGAGCATCACCATGAACCAGGACTGCACTGGAAGAGGCCGGTGTGGCTGGCTATATTTTGGCTATCTCTGGTCTGTAGGGGAAAGTCCAAAATTTCTGTCTGACTACTGATACTTCCATATTTCTTCATCTCACCCAGTTCCTAACCTTCTTCCCTTATGATATTTTTAATTCCCTCATCTTCAGGTATGATTTTAACGTTGTCTGTGCCTTTTCTTATGCTACTGCCCGTGTTCACACAAAACCCAAATCCTGGTCTCCTTCATGAAGGAAAATTAACTTCCCTCCCTCTTTCTGGCCTCAGTCTAGATTGACCTCACATTTTTTCCACATCTCATATTATTTATTACTGCACATGAATATGTGGATAGAAACTGTTCTCATCAGTCTTCAGATCCTTAAAAACAGGACCAGTGTCTCATTTTTCATAGTGTTTTCTGCAGCCAGAACAGATCCAGACATGCAGAGGAAATTCAAATTGTTTTATGAAGTTATCAATGAATTTATAAATAAGGGTAAAGGCCCAGTGTTTCTGTTATGATTTCTGCTTCTCCCACAAACTGGAACACGAGGGAAGGCAGGGTTAGACAACAGTGGTAACTCTTCCTGGTGGAGCGAACACAGCAGCATTTCCCATGTCGTGTGCTCCTGAGGACTTGAGACTGAGCAGGCCTGGACTGTTGCAGGGACCCGTGTTGTTTGAGGACGTGTCTGTGGACTTCACCCAGAAGGAGTGGCAGCTTCTGGACCCTGCGCAGAGACGTCTGTACAGGGACGTGATGCTGGAGAACTACAGGCACCTGGAGTCACTGGGTGAGCCTAGCTGCCACGCAGCCCCGGCAGCATGCACTTCCTATCTTGGGAGCCAAATTATCGTAGACGGTGATAAGTCTGATGCTGAGATTGTTGGGTCTATGACACTTGAAAGAATATTCTGTTTTCACTTCCCTGATAAAAGGTTTTTTCACCAGATGCGCAGCCCCCCAGGGAGGGAACTTAGCCACTGGCCCCAGCTCTGACATGGTGACAGGCACCCCCCACCCCCAGGCAGAGGCTTAGCCACTGGCTGTGATAGAACAGGGCCAGACACTGGTCACATGTGCTTCTCCCTTCTATTCTTCAAAGGGCCTGAACCCTAAGCAGCATGGCCAAGTCTCATGTCATTTCCCATCACAGGACACTGTGTGACCAAACCTGAGCTGATATGCAGGTTGGAGCAAGGAGAAGAGCCGTGGATACTAAAGAGGGAGGTGCCAAGTCACAGCCACGCTGGTGAGTTGAGGTCAGATGGAAAGAAGCTGGAGAATTGGATCCTGGGTGGCCAGTTTGGGGCTTGGTAGCTTTGAAAGGTTTTTTTGGAAATCTGTTGGAGGCTGTTGATGTTTAGAAGTGAGTAAAGAGGTGGCCACATACCTTACACATCATGGGCCCTCCTAATGTCACTCTCAGGAGTAATTGTTCTTTGTTTCCTGTTTGGTTTTTAGAGAAAGATTCACTTGGTGTTTATAGAACCTCATTTCTGCTTTCTTCATCCTACATCTTTATTTCTGTTTTCCTTCCTCTTCACCTTCCTCCTGTGCCAAACACTGGTCAGTGTGCATGAATTCATTTTTTCCTTTATTAAACATATGCTTAACAAGCACACGCTGTGCACTGGTCACATTCTAAGCCTCGGGGACACAGAAGCAAATGTTTTACTTCTATCAAGARGTCCAGTTAGCACCAGGCATGGTGGCACACACCTGTAATCCTATTGCTCTGGAGGCTGAGGCAGGAGGATAGTGAGTTCAAAGCCAGCCTCAGCGACTTAGTAAGTTCCTAAAGCAACTCAGCGAGGCTGTGTCTCTAAATAAAATAGTAAAATGGGCTGGAGATGTGCCTCAGTGGATAAGGATCACTGGGTTCAGTCTCTGGTACCAAAAAAAAAAAAAAAAAAGAATTGTCTAGTTAGCAAATAAATATATAATAGGGTAGACAGTCATCAGCAGTATGAAAAACTAAAGTCAGATGGAGAAGGTGGAGTCTGATAGGGCCTTTTAGAAAGGGAGGCCAGGGAGACCGTTTAGAGGAGGTGGATATTTGAATAGGAACAGTGGGATGGGTCTTGAATGGAGGGTTTGAGTGAACCAGGGGTGGTCAGAGAGATTCCCAGACGAGAGGGACAGCAGGGGCCAAGCCTCTGAGACAAAAGTGTCCTTGAGAAAGCAACAAGGAAGCCCTGGGACCGAGCAGGTGGAGCGAGGAGAAGGAGCAGAGTGTGACACAGGGAGCTGGGGAAGGCTTCTGGTCCTGCTCAAGATTCCAGTTTTCCTGGGTGAGATCACAGATGAGAGAACAGGCCAAGGGCAACACTTTAAGCACAGCCTTTGAAGGTCAAGAGGACGCAGGACTCTAGCAAGAGAGACTGAGAAGGCCCATCCATCCAGGATGAAGGTGGAGAGTCAGAGTGGTGTCCAGAAGCCACATGGACAGAGAGTCGAGAAGCAAGGAGTGAGTTCCACTGCAGAGGCAGGGATGTCACGTCAGCAGCGTCCCTTCTTCCCCTCACCCAGAAGATACAAGGAACAGGAAAACACAATGTCATCTCCATCTCCACCTTCACGGGAGACTGGAGGCCGCTGAAGTCTCAAAGTAAAAATAATGATGATAATAATGTGGAAAAGCTGCCAAAGCAATGGAAGTTGGGAAGATGTAGAGAAAAAAAAAAAACTATGCATACAGCACTCTGGAAAATAGTGGTAGAATATATTCTGAAGACAGTTTTATATGCAGATTTGACTACATTTGGAACTTAAAGGGGTGAGGATGTTTTTTAAGCAGTGGGTTGTGGCATGGTCCTGAAGGATAGCTGGCTTCCAAGTAGAGGACAGAACAGGTATCAAATAAAGGGAAAAGATGGAGGTAGGATTGTGGTTGGAAATTAACAATTTATGGAATTAGCCTGATCTGACAGGAGCTGACAGCATTGTAGACTTGTGGGATTAGCTCATGAGCATATATCGTGAATTTAGGTGTAAGAATCTAGTTTAAAATCTAAGCATAAAAATCTAATGTCACATTCTTTGTTGGGATATTGACTTCTATTTGTTTTATCTATTGCAGAAAAGCCAAACATTTAAAAAAATTTTTTTTAGTTGTAATTGGACACATACCTTCATTTTACTTATTTATTTTAATGTGGTGGGTGCTGAGGATCGAACCCAGTGCCTTGCATGTGCTAGGTGAATGCTCTTCCACTGAGCCACAACCCCAGACCCAAGTCAAATGTTTTTAAGCATACAGTTAATGTTATTTCATAAAATGTTAGTAACAGAAGATAATAATAATCACCCTCAGCTAAATTGTTTACAACAATCCAATAACCAAGAGCTTAGTTATCACAGGAAAGAGAAGCAATAGAGGAAAACATTAAAATAGCATTAAATGTTAGGAGTTGAAATTTATATTACAAAAACCAGCACATGGGTGTGTAAAGGAGCTTGATTCATAATCGCCAAAACTTGGAAGCAACCAAGTTGTCCTTAAGTAGGTGGATGGATAAAGAAACATAGTACATCTAGACAATAGAACTATTCAGCACTAAAGCAAAACAAGCTATCAAGGCATCAAAGGACATGGGAAAACCTGAAACACTTACCAAGAAGTGAATGAAGACAGTCCATAACGGTACACACTGTATGGTTCCAACTGTCCAACATTCTGGACAAGACAAAGCTATTGAGTAAAAGGATCAGTGGTTGTAGGGGCTGGGAGAGGGATGAACAGGATTCATTTATGGAGAATTTTTAGTGAAACTATTCCGTATGATACTATAATGGTGGATACTTCTCATTATACGTTTGTCCCGACCCACAGAATGTACAACACGAAGAGTGATCCTTAAGGTAAACTAAGAACTATGAGTGTTAGTAATGGGCATCAATAAATTCACACAGGGGAAAAACCCACTCTTGTAGAAGATGTTGATGTTGGGGAGGTTGTGCATATGTGGGAATGGGGCACATGCAGGAACTGACAGTACTCTCCATTCCACTTTACCATGCTAAAAAAGATAAAGTCTATTTAAACATTCAGTGTGTGATAGATCACCACCAGTTGGTAAAGTCAGTCAATGGGTTGAAAGAGGGAAAGTAGAGTTTTCACCAGGATGGATAACTATTGATTAACTCTGGTAGAACTGAATGATAGTGCCACTCATCAGAATATGGAGGGGATTGGATCCTGCTGTAGTCATGGCTTGTCCTCTTATCCATTTTAATATTTATTGGACATTGTTTCCCGTATCATAGCTGTATAGAGACATAGGGCCTGAACTATAGGATTGACCTTTAGACCTGAGGACGTGAGTGACTCCATAACTTTAGTTGGGATTGGTGTGCAGTCTGGAAAGGGGAGAGAGACGAGAAGCACATAGAATGGATTAAGGATGCTCCTGTGGTGATTATGGTAGAAAGGGAGAGAAATCGGGATCTGGTATCTTATCTTCTGCAAGCCTGTTCCTCACTCTGCTATTTCCCTTGGGCACCCTCTTCCTCCTTGCCTGCTGTTCAGGGTTCCCCTTCTCTACTGCATGTTTCAAATATCTTCCATCCTTGGATCAATCATGTTCTTGACATCCTTTGTTCCCAGTTCACCATTTCTTGTGTTTATTTCAAGCTCTCTACCCATTTTGAGGTCATGTTTGTAACAATCCAAAGCTACTTATGTTTTTTTCAGCGTTCTCTCTTTTTCTAGTGTAGTATGTGGCTTTGGCTTTGTTTTCATAAAACCCAAAAGACTAGAAGAAACATTTGCTTAGGATTATTGTCCACCCAGGAGACTGCCTGAAACCCAAGAATCATCTCAGCACAGGGCACTGTGTACAAGCCCTTTCCTTCAGACAGGTGCCAAGATGTATAATGTATGGTTAATTTTTCATATTTCTAGAAGCCCAGCGAGCCAACGACATGAAAGAAAGCCAAGAAAATGAAGACAAATATTCAAGACCAGCTGGATTTATCCACAGCAAAACACTCCCCAAGGAGGGAAAGGAGACCTTAAAAGAAACAGTAGAGATGACCACGAACCTAGTGCCCTCAGGAAAAACGTCTCATAACTGTGACTCATTTGGAACAAGCTTAAAAAGTGTTTCAGAATTAATTATTAGCAATAGAAACCGTTTAAGAAGAAAGTCTCCTGATTTCAGTGAATGTAGGATCCTTGATACGAAGCAGGAGAAAATGCGTACAAGGAGCAGGCCCCGTGGAAATGATCAGAGGAAGAGACCCCACAGTCCTCATGAGGACTGTGTCCAGAACAGTTCATCTCCAGAACAACCTCTCGAACGTGATGATTGTAGGAAGGCCTCTCGTAGGAAGACACCCTTGGTTACATGTGAGAAAGCTCACACAGGAGAGACATCCTCTAAAGGTGACAAATACAGACGAACCTTCAACCAAAAGTTAAAGGTCAATTCTGATATGAGGATCCTTGGGGAAAGGAAACCACATGAATTCAGGAAAAGTGGGAAATTGTCACKCGGAAAGCCAAAAGAGGCACATCAAAGAATTCCCATACGGGAGAAGCATGTTGGATGTAGTAAATTGGGGAAATCCTTTCRCAAGAAATCAAACCTCACCCAGTGTCAGAGAATGTGCCCAGGAGAAAATACTAATGAGTGTCACAAAAGTGAGGAAGACTTAAGGAAGTCATACCACAGTCAAGATGAGAAAACTCACGCAGGAGAGAAGATCTATGGCTGTACAGAGTGTGGGGAATCCTTTCRTGATAAATCATGCCTCACTAGGCATCAGCGAACTCACACCACAGCACCAAGCCAGCGTGATGATAGGAAGAGAGCCTTGGAGAGGAAATCCCACCTCACTCTAACTCAGAGAGAGACCACCAGAGAGGATACTGACAGAGGTGATAAATGTGAAAAAACCTCCCGCAGGAAGTCAGTGTACTCTCAACATCAGAGAATGACCTTGGAGAAGAAACCTCATGAGAATAAGAAAAGTGGAAGAGCCATAAGTGGGAAGTCACACCTCACTGAAAACCGGAGCGGTCGCAAAGGAGAGAGGACTTACGACTGTGGTAAATGTGGGGAAAGCTTCCGGAAGAAATCGAGCCTTACTCAACATCAGAGCACACACACAGGGAAAAAGCCCTACGAGTGCAGTGAATGTGGGAAATCCTTCTTTGTGAAGTCCAACCTCACTGAACATCAGAGAACTCACACAGGAGAGAAGCCGTATGAATGCAGTGAATGTGGGAAATCCTTCTGCCAGAAATCAGCCCTCACAGTGCATCAGAGAACTCACACGGGAGAGAAGCCATACAAATGCAACGAGTGTGGGAAGACCTTCTGCGTGAAATCCAACCTGACTCAACATCAGAGGACCCACACTGGAGAGAAACCCTACAAGTGCAACGAATGCTGGCGATCTTTCTGTGTGAAATCCAACCTTGTAGTGCATCAGAGAACTCATACAGGAGAAAAGCCCTACAGATGCCCTGAGTGTGGGAAAACCTTCTATGAAAAGTCAGCCCTCACAAAGCATCAGAGAATCCACACAGGGGAAAAACCCTATGAATGCAACGAATGTAGAAAAACCTTCAGCCAGAGGTCAGCCCTCACCAAACATCAAAGGAAAACACACAAGAAGAAAACTCCTATCAACACCCTCCATGTGGAGAAACCAACAGTCACAAGCCAAACTCATAGAACATCAGTAGGATCTGAAGGCAAAACCCCGACACAACAACATGAGTAGGAAAGTCTTCACAAATACAACTAATGGGAATCAGAGAATTCATATAGGAGTAAAACCATAAGAACATTTGAATATGTGAATGCTTTCTTTCACACGTATTTAAAGTTGTTGAGGAAAATTTATAATTTTAAGACGTATGGATTAAAATGTCCTAGCAGAAATGTTGTTTAACCAGAAGTCAGATTTCAGAAGTAATATCAAACTTATTACAGAAAATAGTCTATTCTTAATAGAAAAATGAAACGTGGGCCTTTTGTAAACACATGAATCATTTAAGTCATTGCTATATCAGCATTAAATAGAATCCTTCTGGCTAGCATTCTCGATTTCCTTCATTTTTTTTTTAGAGAGAGAGAGAATTTTTAATATTTAATTTTTAGTTCTCGGCGGACACAACATCTTTGTTGGTATGTGGTGCTGAGGATCGAACCCCGGCCGCATGCATGCCAGGCGAGCGCGCTGCCGCTTAAGCCACATCCCCAGCCCTTCCCTTTGTTTTCTAATGAAATTTCTCTTGGGTTTTTAAAATAATAAAGTGGACACTGATGAAGATAGAAAAAGCAAAGTAGGTGAAAAAGAAACAAAAACAAAGTATAATGACCTCAAGAAGGAAAACTGAAAGGAAATCAAACATAAGTTATCACAAATAATAAGAATAAACTGAACTGCCACATAGAAGTCAGAAGTAGTTTAATGATGATTTAGAAAGCTAAATCTGTGAGGTATGGTGGTGCACATCTGTAATCCCAGTAGCTCAGGAAGCAGAGATGGGAGGATTGCAATTTAGTGATACCCTTAGCAACTTAGCAAGACCCTGTCTCAAAAAATAAAACGGGATGGGGATGTGGCTCAATGGTATACTGCCCCTGAATTAAATTCCTCTACCCAAAAAATAAAGTAAAATACTAAGACCAATGTATGATCTACAAAAACTACTGTATCTAAAACCAGTTGATGGAGTTTGAAAGTTAAAGGATGGCAAAAATTTATCTTTTTAAAAAAATGTCCATCTACTACTATGCTGGGCACGATGGCATATGCCTGTAATCCCAGTGGCTTTGGGAGGCTGAGGCAGGAAGATTGCAAGTTCAAAGCCAGCCTCAGCAAAAGCAAGGCGCTAAGCAACTCAGTGAGACCCTGTCTCTAAATAAAATATAAAATAGGGCTGGGATGTGGCTCAGTGGTTGAGTGCCCCTGAGTTCGATCCCTGGTACCACCCCCACCCCACCCCCGCCAAAAATGTCCGTCTACTGAAGTATGGCTGYGGAAGGTAAGTCCTGTGGTTATGTGGTTTAACTACCTCCCGTGGAGTTGTAGTCTCGGGGGAGGACGGGTGTTAAGGATCCCCCATGCACTTGGCGCATAGCAACTGTGGCACGGTGGACTCTTATCCTCCAGCAAGCCTGGTCCTCTTCCTTCAGTAGCAGAACTGCCCATGGGTGTTAGAAGGCTACATGGCCACCCAACTGGACTCTATGTTTCCTAGCCTACTCTGCCACCAAGGGAATGAGAAGGAAATAGCACCCACCTGTCCAATGGGACTTATAAGTAGATTATTGTAGACATTTATTTCCAAATGGTTTACTGAGAATTTATCCTCTTTTGGATAACACCAAAAAAAAAATTAAAACCYCCAAATACACCATAATAGGGGATTGGCCAAGTAAATTGTGGCACATCCAAAGAAAAGAAGACCTTGGTATTCACTCACAGTAGGTGACTCTGCTGTAGAGTTTACTGTGTGTCCGGCATTGTTCTAAGTAACATATACATGTAAAATAATATGATGAGACTGTTGCTTAATCCTCATAACAACCTATGAAGTAGATACTTTTTTTTATTGATGGGGAAACCAAGACACAGAGGTTAACTTGCCCAAGGTCGTACAGCTAGTAAGACCTGGAGCCTGTCTGAGTCTAAGCAGTCTGGCTCCCAAGTCTGCTTAGACTCAGCATCTTCAACCTCTCATCAAAAATCAGCTTGGGGGGCTAGGATTGTGGCTCAGCAGTAGAGCACCCGCCTAGCATGTGTGAGGCCCTGGGTTCGATCCTCAGCACCTCATAAAAATAAAATAAAGATTGTGTCCAACTACATGTAAAAAAATAAATATTAAAAAAGAAACAAAAACAAACAAACAAAAACAGCCCAGTGCATGCCTGTAATCCCAGCAGCTCAGGAGGCTGAGGCAGGAGGATCACAAGTTCAAAGCCAGCCTCAGCAAAAAACAAGGCACTAAGCAACTCTCTAAATAAAATACAAAATAGGGCTGGGGGTGTGGCTTAGTGGTCAAGTGCCCCTGAGTTCAATCCCCAGTACCAAAAAAACCCCACCCATCTTGTAGGGAAATCCACTGAGATGAAAATATGTTCTTATTATGCTGCTTTTATGTCTTTAACTGACGTTTTTGACCCTTCTCGGCCAGAGAATCCACAAAAGCCCCTGGAAAGTGCAAGGAAGGACAGCGGCTTTCTGGCATGTCTGTCTGCCTTTTTGATGGATGGTGCTCCCTTGGTCGTGATTTATAGCAAGAAACTCTTTCATAGCTTAATGTATTTTAATAGCAGACTCTTATAGRAATAGCACAGAAGAAAAACACCATTAAAAACACACTTGAAAGTAGAACAACTCAAGAAGCATAGTGAATGGATGGAATCTACAGTATGATAAAAATGCTACCAGAACCATTTAGTTGCCATCGATAAGAAATTTACCTGTTAAAAAAATCCAAATGCTGGCATATCCAGAAAAATTTAACACTTTTATTTATTATTGTTTATAAAATTGAACTGCTGAAACTTGTTCACTGAAACCTTTTGAGTTACATTAGTGCTTTACATCCTGCATTTATATTAAAAATTAACACACAAATAAACCCATATCCACTACCCATCCCCTCTTATCCATCCCACTCACAATTATATACCTAGGTACCTTTCGACCCCATGGGTAAAAAACATCTAGCACTTAGAACTACCAACATTAGGAGGAAGAGAAAAAAAAGAAGAATGTTTTCAGGAATGAAGTGTTTCCTGTGGTAGTGAATCCTTTAGCATGTTCTCATGAATGCTGTGTACAAGTTAGATGTCTTCTGCCATAACTGTTACCTGTTTGGCATGGACAGCAACAGGTTGGTGTCTCAAAAACGCCAGCCAGGGAAGCCTCGCCTGCCTCCTGCAAAGCAAAAGTACCTGTGCTCTGGAGACACAGATCTGTTTTAAAGTTCCAAGCAATTTCTCACCCCAGACGCTGGAAGGGGAGTTTTTGAATAGAGGTTCAGTGGGCTCCTGATAACGTCTGAGTTCCCAGAGTGTTACTTACCCAGCCTGTAACGATGAGGAGAGGGTGCCCTCTTATAGCCAGTCGTTTCCTGGGTGCTTTACCAACGGTCGAATTGCGGGCAGCCTGCTTGGTGCCCGCCACAGTAGGCAGAGGGTCCTACTCACCTGCCTTCTCCTTTAGCTAGAGCTCCGCCAGCGAGAGGCTGCTTCAGAGAGCAACCCTGGTGCAGGGAGGCTGCGAACAGAATTCTTGTACTAAAACACTTGATTTTTATTTGGATTGCTGAACAGGACACAGAGCAGGACCACTTGACTTCTCATCCTGACGTGGTTTCTAACCAAGTGTGTGGCCTAGTCCAGCCCCGTTTATTCCTCTTTGAAGTACGGCAGAAGTAGATAGCACTAGGATGCTTTCCATTATCATCGTCCTGAACTTTGTAGGTCAGTTCACAGGGCAACCTGCACATCCTCACAGGCTCCAGATGATGACTGGGGTCTGGGTGTGCACCATATTGGATCAGGGGAGACCGAGTGGAGGATCAAGAGAGCGTGTGTCTTTGGAGAGGGTTGATATTGAATTTCCACAGCTCAGCCTGAAGATGCCACCTTGCTCCAGTTGTGCCCTCACAGACATCTGATATAACAGGACTTTTCTCATGGAGACTCTCCCCTCAGCTATTGCCCCCAACCCCCCATTATCACAGAGCTCTGATGGTCTCTGTGGAGGTGACTCCATTAGACTTTGCACATGCTGAGCAGGAAGATAAAGAATTGCTTGTGGCCCTGCTGCCCGAGGGAGGGCTCTCTTGCCTCTGCCTTCTGCTCTGGAGAGAGGTCTCATTTCAGCTGTGTCCCCGTGGGTGGATATCAGAGCCTTCTCTTTATAGTAYACAAAACCATTGCATTCATGTGCGCTCAGCCTCTGGGCCCCAAGCATAACCTCGCTTTAGATGGAACCTTCCATAGCATGCCTGTATGGCTCTCAATGTCCTGGCTGTGATTTGTGTATATTTGCAGGACATTAGCATTGGAAGATACTGGGTAAAAGGAACCTGAGATTTCCCTGTATCATTTCTTACAAATATCAAATGCCTGTGAATCTATGGTTACCTCAAAATACAAGTTTAATTTTTAAAGGGAGAATAGGAATGATCCCATAATATGGGTTAGCAGTTCCTTCTGGGACTGGGAAGAAAGAGGAAAGGAAAAGAATGTCCCCCACCTATAGCACTTGGGCATCTGCCTTAGGTTTATGGTGAATACAGATTTCAAAGTCATGAGTGTAGTTCCCCCAAATGACCTCCTTTTCCAGAACAATTTCATTTCTACCTCTGAGTCCCCAGCTGCTTAACAAAGGCCTAATCCAGGCCATCGGATAAACAAAGTCAACTTCTGTGACTTCCTAGCCCCTTTAGATTGAGAACCACTCCCATTCAGGATTATCTTTTCCTCATCCACCTTGTGTTTCACATTTTTTTTAAGATAGAGAGAGAGGGAGAGAGAGAGAGGGAGAGAGAGAGAATTTTTTAATATTTACATTTTTTAGTTCTCAGCGGACACAACATCTTTCTTTGTATGTGGTGCTGAGGATAAAACCCGGGCCGCACGCATGCCAGGCGAGCGCGCTGCCGCTTGAGCCACATCCCCAGCCCTTGTGTTTCACATTGAAGCTGAATTTGGGGCTGGGGGCTGCATGGATGCACTGCTGAGGCTGTGGGGGAG